AGGGGTTGATGAGAGGAGTATCCCACAGATAGAATGGTAAAGAAAGGCCTTGTTCAAGACACTGAACAAGATGTATGTATCAAAATACATCTGGAGACTGGATTTAGTCCACAAGCCTTCAGTTTTCAACCTCTGCTGTAAAAACAAAAATACACCTTTCTTTCAGTGGTACAGCTCTACCTCTGGGGTACAAAGTACACCTTATGTTTCCAATCACACATTAAGATGTAAAAATATAATACAAGAAATAAGAATATACATCTGAGGGATCCCTGGGTGGCTCAGTGGTTCAGTGCCTGCCTTTGGCCCAGGGCATCATCCTGGAGTCCCGGGATCGAGTCCCATGTCGGGCTCCCGGCATGGAGCCTGCTTCTCCCTCTGCCTCTCTATGTCTATCATAAATAAAATCTTAAAAAAAAAAAAAAAAAAATATACATCTGAAACCCCAGATGGAAGAAAAGCAAAAAGATGGTTCTTGCTCTTCATATACGAAGGTACTCCATTTGCACCACTTAAAATACTAACAGTTTCTTCCAGTAGAAAAAAACATTCAGAAATGGACTTTCATGATACTGAGCTAATGTCTGACTTCTTCAATATGTGCATCAGCCTGTAACTTGCAGACAAAAAGAAACTAAAAGATCTATGGCACAGCATCTAAACTTGATTTTTAAAAAAGTTCCCATTAAAGACTAAGAAATGTGGTGATGGCTAACTCAGTTCTTGGAGTAACTCTTGATCTAGAGGTTGTGAGATTAACCCCACGTGGGGTGTAGAGCTTACCTAAAAAAAAAAAAAAAAAAAAAAAGATGAAGGAAAGCAATCTTTTAGAAAGGGTACCCACGACTCAACTCTGATAAGCCATGGGCAACTACTTTTTTATGGGTTATAAACCCGCATTACAAGCTCTAGAACACTGGTTCTTAAATTCTGAGACTAGGGCAGCCCAGGGGGCTTGGCGGTTTAGCCCTGCCTTCAGCCCAGGGCATGATCCTGGAGTCCCCAGATCGAGTCCCACATCAGGCTCCCTTGCACGGAGCCTGCTTCTTCCTCTGCCTGTGTCTCTGCCTCTCTCTCTGTCTTTCATGAATAAATAAAATCTTAAAAAAAAAAAAATTCTGAGACTAATGAATTTGACGGAAGTTATCAAACCTTTGAGAAAATGCAGTCGCTCACAAAAATTTTAGTTTCATGGGCTCCCTATAGTCCATGGACTACAGATTAAGAATAGCCTGATCCGGGATCCCTGGATGGCGCAGCGGTTTAGCACCTGCCTTTGGCCCAGGGTGCGATCCTGGAGACCCAGGATCGAATACCACGTCGGGCTCCTGGTGCATGGAGCCTGCTTCTCCCTCTGCACATCTCTGCCTCTCTCTCTGTGTGTGTGACTATCATAAAAAAATAAAAATTAAAAAAAAAAAAAGAATGGCCTGATCCCAAGAATATTAAACCTACATCCTCTCCAAACACCCCACTTCTTCCTACCAATACATAGACAACTACTATATCCGGTCTGGACCAGTACGGTAGTCTCTTAAATGATATCCTCCATAATCCATCTTCCATACCTTTGCAAAAATAATCTTTTTTAAAGATTTTTATTTATTTGAGAACAGAGAGAGAGAGCACACGCACACACACAAGTGGAAAGGGAGGAACAAAGGGAAACACAGACTCCCCACTGAGCAGGGAGCCCAATGCTGTGATGCTGCTGCTGCTGCTGCTGTGATGCAGGACTCCGATGTGAGATTTGATCTAAGGATCCCAAGATCATGACCTAAGCCAATAGCAGATGCTCAAGGCACTCAGGTGCCCCAAGGGTTATTTTAAAATATAAATCAGAAGGCTTCAATGGCTTCAGCCAAACCACCTTACCTGTCCAGCTGTTGTCACCACTCTCCTCACTGTGTCAGCTACTTTGGGCCTCTTTTCAGTTCTGAAAGCACACAATTCTCCCCACCTTCTTGCTGTTCCCTCCATATGCAATGTGCTTTCCTACAAAACTGTCATTCATGCCCAAAAGACCTTCTCTGACCAACCTTAGGTCTCCCTTGTTAGTGTCTGCTAGAGTCCCTGCTTGATATTCCCTTATCACTTTTCTCAATTTGTCATTTATTTTTTTACTGGTTGTATCTTCCCCTACTCTACTAGAAGTTCTCCAAATGCAAGACCCCTTGGGTCTCACACCCCACCCCACCCCCACCTACTCCCAGAGCCTAGTACAGGAGCCAGGCGGTAGAGCGTGTTCTCAGGCACTATTTGCTGAATCAATCAGCCAAATACTGAACTGACTCAATCTTAAATGTTTACAGGATGAGTGTGTGAAGCAATCCATTGATATCTAACATTTGGGGGAAAAAAAAATCTAACATTTGAGAGAACAGCATTAACCACTTTGCCTTCAATTCGGGAGGTCATTGCGCCGGAGAAATAGGCTAGCATCTTGAGATTCTTAGTGGTTGAGACTATCCGTTCAAAATAAATAATTAGGGGATCCCTGGGTGGCGCAGCGGTTTGGTGCCTGCCTTTGGCCCAGGGCGCGATCCTGGAGACCCGGGATCGAGTCCCACATCGGGCTCCCTGCATGGAGCCTGCTTCTCCCTCTGCCTGTGTCTCTGCCTCTCTCTCTCTCTGTGACTATCATAAATAAATAAAAATTTAAAAATAAATAAATAAATAAGTAAACAATAGTCGTTTGTCTTCTGCTCCCTCTCTGCCAGCAGTATCTCTCCCCACCTGGGTGCTAATCTCCACAATATTCCAAGCTTCCTCCTTCCAACTTCTCAGGACAAAACAGGACACTCCTTTTTGTAATCCATTATTTCACTGGCTAAGCCAAATTCAAAGGATGCCTGTAACTTGGTGTTAACGCTAATGAATATGCTAAAGAACTACTGTCGCTACTGTTACCACTATCACCACCACCAGGAAAACGGGACTGTATGTACATCTGTAGAACTAGAAATCAGTCATTCCAAAACCGGAGACCCGTCACTGGTGCCAAAAGGGTTAAAGAACGAGGCGACAGGCCTGCATTGGACATCAAAGATTTTTAGTGGAACAGTTTTCTTCTGGAAACTTCAGTACACCTTTTACAAGATGCAACCAAGCCCAAGTGGTTGCAGAATAAATCCGTTTCTGATATTGCTGAAGTGTGTGCCTTGGTTCACAAAACGTTAATTCCCAGCAAAGAGCAAACTGAGCTCGATTTGCTCCACAGGTTGCTCATGGGCAGGAACAGTTTCTGACTCCTTGTAACAGGCTTCTGCTTAATGATACACACATCAAGCCCTCCAGATAACCGAACAGACAATATTTCCACATTAAAAAAAAAGGCGGGAGGGGGGGCATCCGAAAGGAAAGAAAAGGAAAAGGAAATGCGGGTATACAGTATTTCCACATTTAAAAAAGGGGGGGAGCATCGGAAAGGAAAAAAAGGAAATACAAATGTGTTAATACCTGCCTTTGCACTCTGGGCCCACAATCTACATACCCTACACGCGGGGATGATGATAACAATGCACCCTAATCCATGTCAGGTAACGAGTTAAGCGGTTTTCAGTTTCATCTCCGTTAATCCTCGCAGTAACGCTCTAAAGTTGCCGCGGCTACTTACCGCTCTTTTGCAGATAAGGAAACTGAGGCACCCGGAAGCGAAGAAACCCCTCGACCTAAAATCAAAAGCTTAACGGAGCCAAAACCTGAACCCGGGCAAGCTGGCCCCGCCATCCGCCTTTCTGTTCTGCCCCCAGAAGCTTCCCTGGCTCTCGCCCGCCAAGGCTCTGCCGCACCCGGAGGCTCCCATTGCGATCCAATGAACCCCCCCCCCACTCCCCACCCGCGTAGACACCCTACGACCACCGACCGCTTCGCACTCCCGGGCACCACCGGCGCTGCTCGCCGGCTCCTGCCGCCAGGCTCCACCCCCTGAGATTTAGAAAGGCGACCAGAAGAGCTGATTTAAAAAAAAAAAAAAAAAAAGTTGTTGAGATGCAAAAGGAGGCAAAAGAAAAAAAAAAAATGCCTCCTACTGGCACAACACACGCGCGCCGGCGACCCCCCGGAATGCAAGTCGGCCTCACCTCCAACCCGAGAGGGCTGAGATGGAGTGGGCGCACAGATGTTCCAGCGGCAGGTTGGATTTGGACTATGCCTCCTCTGGCCGCAAGCAGGGAAGGAGGACTAACACTCACCGAGTGCCAGCCACATGCGCCCTAGAAGACAGAACCAGGCCAATGGAGACGGGGGGGGGGGGGAGGGGGAGTTGCACTCAGAGTTCCGGGAAAAGGAGAAATTCAGAGAATGGGGTTCCTGCGACTAAAGGGGGGAGATGGAAGAGGTGGAGGCCTCAGGCTTGCAGCTTAAGGGGGGGGGAGGGGGAGGGAGAAAAGGCGGCCCCAGAGCGTCGGGAGCTAGGCCGGAGCGAGGGGAAACCCTGAAGGGCGGGGAGGGGGAGGAGCCGGAGAGGGAGCGGGGCCAGCTCCGAGGAGGCCTGGGGGCAGCGGCGCAGGAGCGGCCCCGCGCCGGGCCCGCCCGGGACCCCGACCCGGCCGCCGCGGAGAGAGGATAAAACACGCCACCGCCGGAGCCGGGGGAGCTGCCCTGATCCCCATCACAGGCCCCCACTCACCCGGGCCCGCCGCAGCGATCGCAGCAGCAGCCTCGCAACGGCACAACCGGCCCGAATCTCGCCCCCGCCCGACAGCGCGCCCCGCGTCCCCGCTCTCCGACGGCGGCAGCGGCGGCGTCGCCCCCGCTGACTCCTGGGAAATGTAGTGCTCGGCCCGCCCGCTGCTAGCCCAGCCGGCGGTGCGCCGAACTACGTTTCCCACAAGGCGAGGCGAGCGTTGGGCCCGCCGCTTTGCGTCACGCGCAGGGTTGTCGGCAGTCACGTGGGGCGCTGCGTCGCGATCCCCTCCCCCCCGCCTGGGTGGCCTGGGGAAGAAGGAGGGAGGTGAACGGAAGGGGCGGGGGCGTTGCTGACGCCACTGCCCCCACCATTTTGGACTCGGCTTGGAGTGAGGGCCGGAGCCCCACCCGCCGGCGGCCGCCCTTCGTCGTCGCCGAGGCCTTAGGCCGGGAGGCCGGGAGGCGGGCCGCCGCGCTCGCTTGGTGACCTTGAGCTATGCGTCTCCGCTGCGGGAGCCTCGGGGTCCCCGCTCCGGCGGGCGGCCCGCAGTCCCCACGCCGCGGAGTTGTTGCGAGAGTCCGACAAAGTGAGGCCCGTGGGGGCGGCCGGTGCCCTGAAAGCGCGACTCAAAATGGAGCTGTTTGCATTGCGGTGATCGGACACCTCCTAAGGACGCTCGGGAGCCCCGTGGGTCCGGGCCCGCGTGGCCCCATCCCCCGCCCGCGACCGTGTGAGCGCAGGAAGGGACGGTCTAAAAAGTGTAGTCCTCTGAAGCTCCTTAAAATGGATGCCACTCGCCCAGTTAAACAAACCACAAGTGCCCCCTCCCCGGGCAGGCTTGGAATCTGCATGATAAACGTCCTTCTGCATCTGCAGGTTCGGGAGCCACCAGCACCTATCAGGGTTGTGCACAAGCTACTTTCCGCTGGACTTCCTGCCCCAGTGAACTCCGACCTTTAAGACTGAGCTCAGATGTTACCCCCTCTTTTTTTTTTTTTTTTTAAGATTTTATTTTACTTTTTCATGAGAGACACAGAAGGAGAAGCAGGCCCCATGCGGGGAGCCGGATGCAGGACTCGATCCTGGGTCTCCAGGGTCTTGCCCTGAGCCAAAGGCAGATGCTCAACCGCTGAGCCACCGAGGTGTCCCAAATGTTCTCTTGTATGAAGCCTTTCGAGGCTTTACTAGCTTCCCCCCACACCTCCCATCCCCCATATCTACTCCTGCAGCACCTTTGCACCTGATTTTTTTTTCTTTGCGCCTGATTTTATAATTATCAGGCCTGTGCTGGTCTTCCCCACCAAACTGTGAGCTATTTGAGAGCAGAGATTAATTAGTTCGGGTGGGTTTTTTTTTTTTTTTCGGGTGGGTTTCTGCATCCCCACAGCAAAGTTAAGAAAGCCCATGTGGGGGATCCCTGGGTGGCGAAGCGGTTGGCGCCTGCCTTTGGCCCAGGGCACGATCCTGGAGACCCGGGATCGAATCCCACGTCGGGCTCCCGGTGCATGGAGCCTGCTTCTCCCTCTGCCTGTGTCTCTGCCTCCCTCTCTCTCTCTCTCTCTCTCTCTCTCTGTGACTGTCATAAATAAATAAAAATTAAAAAAAAAAAAAAAAAAAGAAAGAAAGCCCATGTGGGGATCCCCTGGGTGGCGCAGTGGTTTGGAGCCTGCCTTTGGCCCAGGGCGTGATCCTGGAGACCCTGGATCGAATCCCACGTCGGGCTCCCAGTGCATGAAGCCTGCTTCTCCCTCTGCCTGTGTTTCTGCCTCTCTCTCTCTCTCTCTTTTCTCTCTCTCTCTCTCTCTCTCTCTCTCTCTGTGACTATCATAAATAAATTTTAAAAAATTTAAAAAATAAATAATAAGTTATTAAAAAAAAAGTCCATGTGAATAAAGATTGCAGGGAGGGGAGAAAAAAGTCTGTTCTTCCTGCAAGAAAAGCTCACCAGCTCAAGTCTGGGACCATGTCATGTCAGCCCTCACCCTTGCTGACCTCAGTGGCCTTCCTTCCAGGCTGCATACTCTTTCTTCCTTCTCTGAGCGTTTCCCTGCTTGCTGTGTAGGGCTTCTTGAAAGGTTTTGATTCAACTTAATTTTCTTTCTCTCTCTCTTTTTTTTTAAAGTGGGCTCCACAACACAGGACTTGAACTCATTATCCTGAGATCAAGAGAGGGACACTGAACCAACGGAGCCACCCAGGTACCCCTCGACTTCATTTCCAACTCAACAGATTTTTGGACTGCTATATGCCATGGTGCCCAGTGAAAAATACTAGGAACACAATGGTGAATTAGAGGGATACAAAAATATGTAATCATTCCTCCCGGTTTCTGAAATACTCCATGCTGGAGCTCTTACCTGTCTCTCACTTCCACTCCTTGCCTGGCCCAAAACCCACCCTGCAGCTCCGGCCTCCTCTCTCTCTTCTCATCAGTCTCTCTCCCTGAGAGACCCCGCTCCATGAGCGAGCTGGCCAACTCAGGTGGTTTCTACATCTTTTCTGTGCACTTTACTCCCTTAACAACATCTTGGCATCAACTCCTATCGTTCCAGATGTTCCAGAGTCACCATACCCTGAGTTTCCCACTGGCTTCTCAAACTAATCTTACTGAAATCTGAATTCTTTTTCCTTCCAATACAGCATTACCTAATTGTGTAGTTAACCATTTATATGTCTGTTTTCTCCACTAAACTTTGAGCCCCCCTCAGGAAAGAGAACATCTTGGGCTCCCAGGTGGCTCAGTGTTTGAGCATGTGTCTTTGGCTCAAGGCATGATCCCGGGATCGATTCCTGCATCGGGCTCCCTGCATGGCGCCTACTTCTCCCTCTGCCTGTGTCTCTGCCTCTATGGGTCTCTCATGAATAGATAAAATCTTTAAAAAAAAAAAAAAAGAAATCTATTGCTGGAGTGCCTTGCTGGCTTGCTTGATAGAGCATGTGACTCTTGAGCTCAAGGCTGTGAGTTCAACTCCCATGTTGGGCATAGAGATTCTTAATTTTTTTTTAAGATTTTATTTAAAAAAAATAAAAAAATACTTATTTATTCATGAGAGAGGCAGAGACACAGACAGAGGGAGAAACAGGCTCCATGTAGGGAGCCTGACATGGGACTGTATCCCGGGTCTCCAGGATCACGTCCCAGGCCGAAGGCAGCACTAAACCACTGAGCCACCGGGGCTGCCCAAGATTCTTTTTTTTTTTTTAAGATTTTTATTTATTTATTCATGAGATACACAGAGAGAGAGAGGGAGAGAGAGGCAGAGAGACAGGCAGAGGGAGAAGCAGGCTCCATGCAGGGAGCCCGAAGCGGGACTCGATCCCGGAACTCCAGGATCACGCCCTGGGCCAAAGGCAGGCACTAAACCGCTGAGCCACCCAGGGATCCCCAGATTCTTAATTTCTTAAAAAATAATAATAATAATAAGTCTATTGCAAAAAAAAAAAAGTAAGTCTATTGCATGCATGATCAATTACCAGTGTGGTAAGGGCAACATAAGAAAATATGTTATATGCTATGATAACATGGAATACACGTGGGCAAACTATAGCCTACAAGCCAATCCTAGCCCTCCTCCTATTTTTGTATGGCCAGAAGCTAGGAACTGTTTTTAAATTTTTAAATGGCTGGAAAAAAAATTTTTAACTAATATTTCTCCTTTGCACAGCCAGTGAGGTTTATCCGAGGCACGATTATTGCTAATTGAAAAACTAGTATTACGTGACATGTAAAAAGTATATATAAAGTTCAACATTCATAACTTCACATATGTGTCTTCTGCTGACACAGAATTGAGAAGCTGCAGGGAGGGCACCTGGGTGGCTCATTCAGTTAAGTGTCTTACTCTTGATTTCTCCTTTTTTTTTTTTTTTAAGATTTTATTTATTTATGAGAGACACAGGCAGTCGTGGGACTCAATCCTAGGTCTCCAGGATCACGCCCTGGGCTGAAGGAGGGGCTAAACCGCTGAGCCACCCAGGCTGCCCTTACTTTTAGTTTCTACTCAGGTTATGACCTCAGGGTCCTGGGAGATGGAGCCTCCCCACCCATGCCCCGGGCTCCATGCTCAGCAGGGAGTCTGCTTCTCTCCCTCTGCCCCTCCCCTGGCTTACACGCCTGTGTGTGTTGGGGGAGGGTGCCTGCAAGTGCACAAGCTCTCTCTCTAAAATGAGTAAATGGGGTGCCTGGGTGGCTCAGTCGGTTGAGCGTCTAACTTCAGCTCAGGTCATGCTCTCGGGGACCTGGGAGGGAGTTCTGCATCTGGCTCCCGACTTAGCGGTGTTGTGGGGTGGGGGGGTCTGCTTTTCCCTATATCTCTCCCTCAACTCATGCGCTCACTTGGGCTTGCTCTATCTCTCAAAAAATTAAGTAAATAATCTTTTTTCAAAAAAAAAGATTTATTTGAGGGAGAGAGAGGGAGCATGCACAGGGTGGTGGGGACAAAGGGAAAGAGAAAAGACTCAGACTCCCCCTGAGCAGGGTGCCTGACGATGCTGGGCTCCATCCCAGCACCCCGGGATTTTGACCTGATTTGAAGGCAGACGTTCAACTGACTGAGCCACTCAGGCTTTTAACAATCTTAAAATGATCTTTAAAAAATAATCTTAAAAATTAATTTAAAAAAAAATATTGAGTAGCCATGACATTGTGTGACCTACAAGGCCTAAAAACAGTTTCCATCCTTTATAGAAAAAGTTTGCTGAGTCTTGACATGGAATCTAGAGATTCTGGCCTAGGCTAGGAGGTCAGAGGAGGCTTCACTGAGGAAGTAACCCATAAATTTGTCATCAACCAGGCGGAGAACTAAGGAAGTGCTTTCCAGGCAGAAGGACAACACGTGGAAAAGTCTGAAGGAACTTGGCTTATCCTAAATAATGTTAGGCCTGCCATTGAGTCTGGAGTGTAATAGGAATTAAAGCCCAGTGAGCCTGGTGAGGCCCTAACCGGCCAGATCCTGCTGGGTCTGATAGTCCAGGTTGAGATTATTGGATTTACTCTGAGAACAACAGGAAGCCATTGAAAGATTTATAAGCAGGAGAGGGATTCGGGGTTTCCTTTTGTGAAGGATTATTCTGGCACAGTGTGAGAATGGATTAGGGCAAACCAGAATGACAGTGGAGAGACCCATCAAGAGGTTATACAGTAATTCAAATGAGAAGACCCAATATCTTGATCTCATGTGTCTTCGGCTGGGATGAAGAGAAAATAGATTCAAATAATTCTCCAAAGATATTTAGGAGATCAGATCTACAGATCTTGATGGATGACTGGATGAGGGAAGGAGGAGTCAAGCCTCGGTTTCCAGCTTGAGCAGCTGTGTGGATGGAAGTGCTAGTGCTGCCTCCCTCCCTTCCAGCTTGGACCCATCGGCCCACATGCATCACAACATCCTGGAATCATCTGTTACATGGCTGTGTCTCCTGCAGAAGGCCATCTCCTGGAAGGCAACCAGGGCCCTGTTCATCTTCCTAGATCTCAGCAGCAGTCTAGGCACAGAACTGGCAGCAGTAAACAAGTGTGGACTTTTCTTAGTACTTCTGTTCCTTTTTTTTTTAAGCTCTTATTTGAGAGAGAGACACAGTTGGGGGGAAGCAGGCTCCCCGCTGAGCGGGAGCCCAGTGCGGGACTGGATCCCAGGGCTCTGGGATCATGACCTGAGCCAAAGGCAGATGCTTAACCTGGTGAGCCACCCAGGCACCCCTACATCTTTCTGTCTCCTATAGGGGCCCCTCTATCTTCTGATCACTCAGGTTCAAAGTCTTACAGGAATCCGGGCTTTCTCTCTATCTCATCCACCATAGGCCATCCGTCAAAGTCCAGGGTATGCTTCCCCCAAAACATCTTTCGAATCTCCTACCACCCTGTTCTGGGTCTTGACAAGTCCTAACACCTGTGAAGTGATTAGAAGAGTGCCTGGGCCTCACCTGGGTGGTTCAGTAGGTTGAGTATCCAACTCTCAATTTTGCTCTCAGGTCATGACCTCAGGCTCCTGGGATCAAGCCCCACGTTGGGCTCTGCGGTCAGCAGGGCGTCTTCTTAAGATTCTCTGTCCCTCCCTCACTCCTCTAAAATAAATAAATCCGAGGGTGCCTCGGTGGCCCAGCTGGCTGAAATGAACATCTGCCTTCCACTCAGGTCATGATCTCAGGGTCCTGGGATCAAACCCCACGTCGGGCTTTCTGCTCAGCGGGGAGTCTGTTTCTCCCCCTCCTTCTCCCTTTGTGTTCTCCCTCTCTCCAATAAGTAAAATTTTAAAATAATCAACCGATCAATCAATCTTTAAAAAAACAGTGGGGGGATCCCTGGGTGGCACAGTGGTTTAGCGCCTTCCTTTGGCCCAGGGCGTGATCCTGGAGACCCGGGATCGATCCCACGTCGGGCTCCCGGTGCATGGAGCCTGCTTCTCCCTCCGCCTATGTCTCTGCTTCTCTCTCTCTCTCTCTCTCTCTCTCTCTGTGTGTGTGTGTGACTATCATAAATAAATAAATAATTAAAAATAAAAAATAAGAAAACGGCCAGAGTAAGGAGTATGTAAGTGTTGGCTATGATCAAGGACTCTTCCCTGGCCTTCCTGTGTCCTGCCTCTTCCACCCAGGCCCTGCTGCTGATGGTAACCAGGGTGCTGTCTCTCAAGCCCAACTCTGATGGTGTTTTTCCCTGGCTTCAGTGCTCTCAAGATCAAACCCTAAATCTTCGATGTGGTCTACAAGGGTCCATATGGTCTAACCTCCTACTGTCTCTGCAGCTTTGCCTTCACCTTCAAAGGCTCTCTGTTGCCATTGGGATGAAGGGCAAGCTCAGGTCTTTCACCATCTGGCCTCCACTTCCTCACCGGCCTCAGCTGTCATACACAATGTCCTCGTCATGTGTGCTTGTCTTGGCTCTCCTCTGGGCTTCCTCCCTCCTTGTGCCAGTTCATGTCCTTCGTCCCCAGGGCCCCACTTACCAAAAGCTGATCTCATAAGTTCCGAGTCCTCCTCCCTCAGGAGTACCCCAACGCCCACTCTGCATGTGTCAGATTCTCTCTGGCATTGTTGTGATTTCTGTACACCGCATTCTTCCTCTAACTGGGGAACAAATAGAGTGACCATCTGTTGCTATGCCTGTCCAGCGTCCTTCCACTGCTCCTTCTCTGGTAACAGCACTCTGATAATCCTTTGAGAAGCCTTCCCACCCCCACACTGGATGAGCAGGTGACTGACTGACTGATCAGCACATTTCATTCCTTTGGCTGCAATGATTGGCAGGTGGCTCAAACCCGGCGAGCAGAGGGAATGAGCATCAGCCTGACACCTATGCTGAAACACTGAGGAAGGAGCCCTCTTTTTTCTGGGATGGCCTGACCAGAAGGGGAGCACCCTGGACTTGCTAATGGTCATCTCCGCCACCATTTGGAGAGAGCTTTCCTGAGAATAAAGCCAACCTGGTGGGAAAGCAGAGCCGTGAGCTGAGAGAGACCTATTTCAGTTAGAACTGACGAGGCCAAAAAAAAAATTAAAAAAAAATAAAAAATAAAATAAAGTTTAAAAAAAATTAAAAAAAAAAAAAAAGAACTGACGAGGCCAGCTGTGCTCTTGAATTCAGCCACTCCTGAAGTTAGCACTTCTAGACTTTTCTGAGCCTGAGCCAATAAATGAATGTTTGACTTAGGCTCCAGGCTGGAGTCCTGACTAACAGGAAGAAGCTACTGGAGGCCATGTTTGGTTTACAAGATGCTTTCAGAGCAGAAAGGAAGGTGGGAAGGGAAAGCAGAAGGGACCAGTGCCAGTGTGTGACCCTCTAAGTTCGAAGGGCCACCTGTGGAACAGAGGAGCGGTTAGCTTTGCTATTGTTCAGACCAACCAAAGTGCCTTCACCTCCATCTCTGCTTGGCAGAAGAATTGAACCGAACATTGTGGTCAGGGTAACAGTTGCTTGTTTTCTCGTCGATTACTGGCAAAAGGAAGCTCTTCGTGGCTGAGCTGAAGCAGCTGGTTAGTCCCAAGCCAGTTGGCTAGCATCTACCGTCAGGGAATATTCTAGTCCAGTGGTTCCCAAACTTGTCTGCACATTGGAATCATCTCAGGATATTTTAAAAATTCCAGCACCCAGACCACATCCCAGACCAAGTAAACACAATCATTGGAGGTGGGACACAGGCACCATGAGGTTTAGAGTTTCCGTAGCTGATTCCAACATGCAGACAAGTTTGAGAACCACTAACAAAGGCCCCCATCCTCCTGTTTCTAAGGCTTGCACTTCTACAAAGCAGAGATTCCCCACCTAGTTGGCGTTAAACCGCTTAGGGGGCAGCCCTGGTGGCCCAGCAGTTTAGCGCCGCCTTTGGCCCAGGGTGTGATCCCGGAGACCCAGGATCGAGTCCCACGTCAGGCTCCCTGCATGGAATGGAGCCTGCTTCTCCCTCTGCCTGTGTCTCTGCCTCTCTCTCTCTCTCTCTCTCTGTCTATCATAGATAAACTAAAAAATTAAAAAAAAAAAAAAAAAAAAAAGAAACCTAATCCCCAATGTGCTAGTATCTGGAAGTGAGGCCTTTGGTGGGAGGTAATTAGGTCATGATGGTGGAGCCTTACCAATCTCTCTTACAAGAGAGACCACAGAGAACTCCTCTCTGTACCTCCTCATCATTCCTCTTTTCAATCACTTGCCCTTCCTCTAAGGAGAAGGAATATCTATGGGATAGTTAAAGCTTCCACAGGCAAATAAAACCCGGGGCTCCCTTCCCTTTTCAGACCCTCCTACTTCTGTCCTTTATGCGGTACACACCCCTCTGGGTAAACCAGAGGGCAGGGCTTCATTTCAGTTCTCAGTCCACTCATGCGGGCAGATCAGTTGAGCCTGAGCACTCAAAACCAGACGCTGACAGAAGGAAGAGAGAGTCTCAGAGAATAGGTTCCAGGGAAAAGTAGGATGTGACACTAAGCATTAGTCACTCCTCTTTTCCCACCCTTGGCTCCAAGCAAGTTCTCCTTTGGGGTGGCAGTCAATGTAACAGCATTGACCCTTCTTGGGCTCTGAGCCAGTTATTCCCAGGAAAGTCAGAGTCAGGCCTCAGAGAATCACCACAGGCCTTGCTCGACACAGGAATTCAGGCCTCAGAGGCCACTTCACCCCACATGCTCTTGCATCCGAAGCAGAGGCCTGGACCTCACTGATCTATTGACACCGAGCTACTTCAGAACAGAGGGAAGTTACTCTTCACTGGCACATTGTGTTTATTGCTAAGACCTTCTTTGAGACAACTGCTTTTTTTTTTTTTTTTTTTTAATCTTTGCCTAACCCAGTGGTTCTCACCTGGGAGCTATTTTTCTCTCCCAGAGAACATTTGACAATGTCTGGAGACACTTCTGGGTGTCATAATCTGGGATAGGGGTGGGGGGTTGTGCTACCGTCATCTGGCGGGTAGATAGATGCCAGAGTTGCTGCTAAACATTCTAGAGTGTGCAGGACGGCCCCTCACAACAAAGAATAACCCCGACCAAGATATCAGAAGTGCCAAAGTTGAGAAATCCTTCATCTCGCTTAGAAAAAAGTTCAGTGGCACTAACCATTAAAATATTCTATGGTCTAAGGGCGCCTGGCTGGCTCAGGTGGAAGGATATGTGTCTCTTGATCTCAGGGTCATGAGTTTGAGCCCTGCATTGGGTTTAGAGATTACTTAAATGAATAAATATATATAAATGGGGGCATCTGAGTGGCTTAGTCAGTTCGGCATCTGACTCTTGATTTGGACTCAGGTCATAATCTCAGGGTTGGAAGATTGAGCCTTGCATTGGGCTCCGTGGTTGGTGGGGAGTCTGCTTGAGATTCTCTTTCTCTCTTTCTTTCTGCCCCTCTGCATTCTCTCTCTCAAATAATAAATAATCTTTAAAAATGAATGAATGAATGAAATATTCTATGGGCTGGCCAGCAGTAACTAACACAAGTTTGTTGTTCGGTAACATCACTAAATTCATGCTTGCTCTCTTTTCCCCAGTTGTGGTGGGGGGGATCCTGCAGAGGGATGGATGGGGATGAGAGAAGGTCACACAATGCAAAGAAGACAGGCTTTGGGGTCAGATCTGATTTTATTATTATTATTTTATTTTTATTTTTATTTTTGGATCTGATTTTATATTCCAGCCTTGACTAGTCATTTAGCCCTGTGCCTTCAGGTAAGTAACTTACCCTCTCTGAGCCTCTGTTTTCTCATCTATAAATAGGACAGCTCCTACCTTACAAGGTCCGGGCTCCTCGTCTGACATTATCCCGAGTGGATAGGGAGCTATGGGAGGATGCTACATGAGCTCAGAAGACGAGGTCAGCTTTGAGGGGTGGCTGGAGCAGCCTGGGGAGGACACTACTTATTCCCACAAGTGTGTGTGTTTCCTTGTGTCCAGGCAGGTCCGGAGGTCTTTCTGGAAGTCTAGCTGGACTCTCTCCTGTAATGTCGACCCTTCCCTTTGCTTAGTCCAGTGCCTCAGCAGTTATTGCGGGCACAGCGGCCTGGCGATGCTGCGGTTGTTATTTGCTTTCTGGTGTCCTTGCAGTGGTCAGGCTTCCTCCTTTTGGCCTAGGGGTGGGGACCGAGGCTTTGGGGCTGCCAGGCCGACAGCAGAGGTTGCCAGGCACTGCGAGACATCGCTCAGCCAGGGCTTTTGTTGACCATGGCCTGGGCTCTAGGAGACATGGCTCTGGGTTATTTCAGAGCAACGGGCTCCCAGGCTCACGAGGGGCGGAAGTGGCCCGTTAGAGGAGGTGGAAGGGGCCTCCCAAGCCTGGGACCGTGAACCCGGGTCTGGGAGTCGTGGCTGAAGTGGCTGCCTCTCCTTGAGTAATGGCCACGTTGTAGCAATCCCACTCAGACCTCCCGGCACCCCCGTGGGCCCGCAAAGATCTCCCAGGACCTCCCGTGGGGCCGCAGAGACCTCCCGGCACCCCCCGTGGGCTCACAGAGATCTCCCGGCACACCCCGTGGGACCGCAGAGATCTCCCAGGACCTCCCGTGGCCCCGCAGAGATCTCCCAGGACCTCCCGTGGCCCCGCAAAGATCTCCCAGGACCTCCCGTGGGGCCGCAGAGACCTCCCGGCACCCCCCGTGGGCCCACAGAGACCTCCCGGCACCTCTCGTGGGCCCGCGGAGCCCCTGTGTCTGGGGGAAGGGATGGGTGTCCTTGTACTCAGGGTGGTGGCTCGGGAGTCACAGCAAATGACCACACTGCCAGGGCCCAACGGAGTCGTGAGGCTCGGGCCGAGGTACCTGCTGATTAGAGTCCTCCCCATGCATAGCTCGGGGTTATCCGTGGTGCTTCGGGGAGTTGGGGACGTTATCAAACCTGCGGCCAACAGCGGGCACTTCCTGGCCATAACTGGAAGAGCATCGCTTCCCAGGCATTTGGTGCGATCCGCCAGCGCCCGAGCCGGGGGCATCTGCAGCGGTGGAGACAGGAGTCCTGCGCCCCCGCGCACGTCCCGCAGCCGGGGACATCGGGGACACCGGGGAGTCGCTGAGGCTGCAGCAGCGCTCAGGAGTCTTGCCCTCACGGCATTGCTGCCCCCTGCCCACCCCGAAGGCACCAGAAGCGCGTCTTAGGGTGACGAGAGGGTGCTTTGTGAGGGCTGTGCACGCTTGTCTCTACAGGAGGAGGGGGAGACGAGCCCCCAAGTGTAGCTGGACCAGGTGCTTGTAGCCACAATGCGTGTTATCCACAATGCTCATGTGGGGACCCGTCACACTTACTTATTTCTCGGTATCACATAAGCTGCTCCAGATCCCAGCCCCACGCTGGGCCTCGTCTCCCCAACCTCCTGTTGAGACGAGCGTGCACCCCGGTCTCCCTGGCTTCCGAGGCGTGCGGGGGGCAGAGGGGGCACAAGGGCTGATGGGAGAACCAGCCAGAAACCAGGGGTTGGGAGCACACAGATGCCTACCTGGGAGCAGGGAAGATCGTCAGTTGGGGTAATTCCTCCCCAGGGAACATTTTCTTTCTTTCGAAGCAGGCTGCATGCCCAGCGCGGGGCCCAGCACAGGCTCGACCTCACTGAGATCAAGACCCGAGTCGAGGGGCGTCTGGGCGACTCAGTCGGTTAAGCGTCTGCCTTTGGCTCAGGTCATGATCTGGGGTCCTGGGATCGAGCATCCGCTTCTCCCGCTCCCTCTGCCTGCTGCTCTGCCACTTGTGCCCTCTCTCTCTCTTTCTCTGTCAAATAAATGGGTAAAATCTTGAAACAAAAAACAAAACAAACAAGACCTGAGTTGAGATCACGAGTCAGTTGTTTAACCGATTGAGCCAACCAGGCACTTCCACAGTTTTGTTGTTTTTCTTAAAGTTTTCCCTCAAATTCCAGTTAACACAGTGTAATATTACTTTCCGGCGTACAGTATAATGACTCAACCTTCCCCAGGGAACACTTGGCAAGACCCAGAGACATTTTTGGTTGTCGCAATTTGGGGGAAAGGGGCTTCGCAGCAGCTGAATTACCTGCAGAGCGCAGGCCCGCCCCCACCCCCCCCCCATTAAAGAAATGATCGTGCCCCAAACACCAACTGTGCCGAGGTGG